CGGCCATGAGCACAGCCATGGCACGCGGGCATCAGTGAGAGCAGTCACGGCACGCGGCGGCCATGAGCACAGCCATGGCACGCGGGCATCAGTGAAACCAGTCACGGCACGCGGCGGCCATGAGCACAGCCATGGCACGCGGGCATCAGTGAGACCAGTCACGGCACGCGGCGGCCATGAGCACGGCCGTGGCACGCGGGCATCAGTGAGACCAGTCACGGCACGCGGCGGCCATGAGCACGGCGTGGCATGCGGGTGGCCGTGAGCCTGGCCGTGGCAGGCGGGCAGCCGTGAGCTTGGCCGTGGCAGGCAGGAAGCCGTGAGCTGGCCGTGGCAGGCGGGCAGCGGGCAGCCGTGAGCCTGTCTGTGGCAGGCGGGCGGCCTGGGCCTCACCTGCAGGATGGACACTGTCTGGGAGAAGTGGTGCTGCTCCATTGTGGAGGTGGAGTAGAGCGCGGCCAGCGGGTGGTCGAACTTCTGCAGGTAGCTGTTGCTGAAGCCTCTGTGGTCCAGGTCATGGCACAGACAGGCGATGAGCAGCCCTTTGCGCTGGAAGAGCACAGCGGAGTGTTCAAGACAGAGAAGCAAGAGGAGGACCCTGGGCCCACAGACAGCCCACACCGACGTCGGCCGCTCTCCTACCAGCACCCTGGGGAGGCTGACATTTCAGGTAATCTAACTTTCTCTCTAACCCCATCCAATCATTCCTGTGTTGTCCACTGCAGGTGCCAGATGCCCACAGCATTTGAGACAAAGCTGACCTGCGCAAGGAGAGGGCAGCGCCCAGTCAATCCCAACGGCACCATCGCCACTGCAAACAGTCCCCATGGCAAGCCCATGGAGTACAACACTACAAGAAGGCCGAGGGGCGCTTCAAGAGACGGGCGGAGCTCACAGAGTCTGAGCAGGGCTCAGAGGAGGAAGGCCAGCCCTGAGCCACAGCAGGAGAGGAAGACAGGTGTGTCAGCAGAGTACCTGTCTCCACCCCGAGCACGTGGGTGAGGAGAAAGGCACCGACCCCTTGTACCCTGTCAGAAGATTTAGGCTCAGCTTCTGGAGACATTTTGGTGAGGTTCAAAGGTATAGCTACATTTCTAATTGAATGAATATACTGAACAAATGCCTGAGTGTGAAAACACCGGGATAATGTGTCATCGATCATCCATATCACAAGCGTGCTGGGGCAGGGAGCTAACGCGCACCCACCGCGCTTCTGCGGGGCCAGAGGCGGAGTGCGCGTGGCGCTCACCTCCAGGTCTGTGAAGAGCTCGTAGTTGTTCTGAAGTATGGCGTACATGCAGTGCGCCACGGTGACCGCGTGCTTCCAGTTGTGGTACGGGACGCGCCGGTAGTTCTTCTTCACAGACATGATAAATCGACACAATTTTTCGAGGTCAAAGCTGGGTAGAGGAAACAATTATGGCTGAAGCCAGTGGAGCCAGAGTCCAGGCCCTCTGGTTGGGGTGCACGGTGTCTGTGCTTGCTCACACACTGGCCGCAGGGCAGAGCCCAAGTCCTGCCACCTCACTCTTTCTCAATCAAGCCCCAAAGAAGTGAGAGAGCAGAGCTTTGGATAGCCTCCATCCTAACGTGCCGCTGTCCCTCCACGGAGGAAGCGCCAGCACCAGCAGAGACACCTGCCATCAGCCTCTGTGGCCTCCGTGACCTGGGCTTTCAAGAAGTCTCTGTGCCCCGCAAGCTCAAAAGGCTACAGAAGTATCCGCATCCACCCAAGGGTACTCAAATTCTGAACTAAGATCTTCCAAAAAGCACAATTGACTCATAAACTATGAGACATCTATCAGGAATGTTTTCTAAAAATGAGTTATTAGCCTTTCAAAGTTAATTCACATTGTTAAGTGGCAAATGCCCATATCCAAATATTGACATATGAAAGAGTGGCATAAACTTTAACTATCATCACTCTATTTGATTTTGCATATTTATACTTCATGACTTTATTCATAGTTGGGATCCTTACCATCTCTCAAAATAGATTTAAGGTAGCCTAAAACAATAGCCAATATACAAAGGAGCTCCTTGAAATAGTAAGGAGACCCATAGCTCACACAAATTTTAAAAACGATGTAACTCGTGTTTTCCTCCATTGAAAACCTCCAGATCCTTGGAGTAAAACGGGTAAGGCATCTTACGAGTTGGAGCTGGTCAAACTATTAACTGACACCTACAAAATAACCAGAGCTGGTCATCTGTAGGGCGCCTTTCAAGATGGAGGTTTACACTCATGGATGAAAAGAAAAGACAGATTTTAAGTTCCAGAGAAAATAAGAGACTATAAAGCATTGGATAACTTAATAATGGTTTTTTCAAACCAAAGAAAACCATTCTGGGAATTTGAAATGTGTGTCTTTAATATATCACACATAACATCATAAACTCCTTGAAGACTGGTCAAAGTGGATAGAGAAAAAGTCTTAACCAATGGAGCTATAATGACTGACAAAGGATCATACTATTTGGGGAAGGGGGGTGTTCTCACTAAGTAGTTTTTTTCTGGCCCCAAACTCATGATTCTCCTGCTCAGCTGCCTGAGTGCTGACAAGGCATTATCCTTTGAAGTAGGAGAGTTTTCTTCTATAACTCATCTAACAGATACAAAGTGTAAGTTAGAAGTTAATGCTATATGTATATTATAACATCTAAATACAGTTTCTTTCTTTTCTGGACTGGAGATTGAACTCAGGGCCTAGAACTTGCCAGGAAGGCACTCTGCCAGCTGAACCACACCCAAACCCTTTGTGCTTTATGTTTGAGGTAGGACCTCTTCTTGGGTTTTACCAGGCTGGCCTCAAACCGAGTGACTGGATTTATAGGCCTGTGCCACCACTTCTGGCTTTCAACACATTACTTAAAATATGCACTTCTGCTCAGTGCTACGTCTGGCTTTCTCCAGCTATATAACCTCGTGCTCCAGTTCTATGACACCTCCTGGGTGCTGGTTTGCGCAGGGCACAAGCCCATGGCCAGAGTGCCCAGGTATACCTGTAGGGAGACTGAAAAGGCTGCAGATGTACCCAATAATAACTCTGCCCTCTTTCTGACCATTTAGAATACAGATCAGAGGTGGCAAAATTGAAGTAACTATAAGCACAGAGAGCGGTGTGCCAGGCATCTCAGCAGGAGGAGGAGGGGGAGGTCATAGCACCAGAAATGAAGCAGGAAATTCTTAGGCCATTCATACCAAGATGTCCCACAGGACCGGTGAATCATATAGACGAAAATCCCTGGCCACATATTTTCAAAAGGACCAATGTCAAAGTGGAATCTGAAATTAACAGAGAATAATTCAGCATTAGATACCACTAGGATAAACATTACCAGTAAAAATCATTTAACTTTTTGTCTACCAAGAAACTAAGAAGACACCAGGATTTCCTTCTTCCCCTCCTTAGTCGTATCTGTCAGTACTAAAGATTTCAGGAGATTCCATGTGTCCCCAGGAATTTAGCAAGGCACCGATTTTTTCTACTAAACAATCTGGTTTTACCAAACTTGTAAAAATGTACAGTACTATTCATGTTACTATATAGCTCATAAATAGGAGGAACCTTACCAGATATATTTTTCTATCCTATTTTAAATGAAATAGAAATCTCAAAAGTATAATTAACCTGCTATTATATCCATACCATTTTATTTACTATTGATTTACTAATTAATCACTATGCTTCAGCTGTAATAAACAGTCTGGTAAATATTACATATTTCCCAATCGTTTCTGAAGATTCCCTATGCAGATAAGAGCACTCAGGCTTGCACTTACTGAGGACATTCAAGTTCCCCCATACCCTACCATCCTCTGGAAAACAAGAGGTGAACATTGAACTAATCACTCCCAGATTCTTGAATGTAACAAGGAATTTTAAATTAGAACGGAAGTAAGATTTTGTAAAAGTGATACGAAATACCATTTGCGGATTTAAAGGTATGTAGAAGACAACAGCATGATCAAAAAATGCTAACACTCAGCCTGTCTCACTTCAAAACCAGGTTCAGCTTTTGTTTGTGGGCACTCTAGAGGAGCAGTGCCCGAGCCGCTGTCAGCAGAACCCGTCACCAACATTACACCCCGGCGGAGCACTCACAGCTCGATCTCCTTGCAGAGCTGCACCGGCAGGGTGAAGCGCATGAGGCCCTGCCACTCCTCCGCTGTGCAGATGCTGTGGTAGGACAGCTTCTCCATGGTCACCCGGTAGATGCACTCCGAGTGGCGAATCCTGTGGTACATCTGGAAGGCCGAGGAAAAGGGACTGCATTAATGAAAGCCCTCATGGCTTGAATTTTTAATCTGAATGAACATTTTCAGTAACTGCATCTTCCTATATGTGAGTGATGTTAATATTTTATTATAAAATATAAACAAAAAATAGAAGACCGGGTAAAACAATTTGAGAATTTTATCAAAAAGACAGTTTTGTTTTCATTTAACAAATGTGTTTTTAAATAGAAGCACCATAATATAATGCTTTATTATCTGTAGAACTATTTAATATTTTGTGAAATAGTACCTGAAGGTCTGGACAGTTTGATTTCTTTTCTACACTTAAACTTTCAGTGATATCACCTGAGAAAGATAGACTCAAAAGTCACAAGTATGTGAATCTTTGCAAAGTAGCACTGGTTGTTTTCACCATAGTTTCAGTTTTATTTCTTAATCACTACTAATACATTTGGTTGAAATTCACATAAATTTCTCTTTGCCTTTATGTCAGTCAGTTGATCCCATAGACTAATCAGTTTTATGTCTAATCAAATCAAGAAAACTAAAACTGCCCATGAAGATTCATTACCACCCTTCCAAATTAAAAAAAATTATTAGAAAATTCAGTTTCAAGTGGGAAGAGATGGAAGGGGAATGAACTGGAACAAGGAGAGGGTAAGTTGAAAGCTGGTATTTTTATGCTGAAACTTGAAACATTAACCTTAACATGAAGATTAGAAGGCAAAGATCGTCAGACAGAATATAAAAGCATGGCCCAAATATATACGGCTTCTAAGAGCTTTTTAAAAATAGAACAACACACACATGTCAAAGGATGGAACAGAAACAGCATTTACCACCAGTAAAAAAAAAATTGGCTTTATCAATATCAGGTAGATTTCAGATCACAGACTTATTACTGGGGGAACTGTATACATGACAGAGGGGTCAGATCATTAAGAGACACAGCAATCTAGATGCCATGCAGCCAACGGGACAGTTTCAAAATATGTGAAGCAAAAACTGAGAACACAGATGCATAATGAATTTCAAGTTTCAATACCACTGCACCCTTAGAATAGTCCTTGCAACAAAGCAATCAAACTACAACCCTAACAGACATTACTAGAGGAAATAAAATGAAAATGTAAAAAGACCCAGGATACTCACAATAACTCTGAAGATAGCAAATAAAGATGGAAAAATTTTACTACCTAAAATAAATACTTACAAAACGTGACAGTAACCTCACAGTGTGGCTCTTGTTATCAATAACATAAATAGACCAACAGCATAGAATATAGAGTGAGCACACACACACACACACACACATACACACACACACACAATAAACACACACATACACATGCTTAGTTGGTTTTCAACAAGGACACAAAGGCAAAAGGTAGAGCAATGTTAAGTGTATGCCACAAACAGTTCTAGAAGAGTTAAGCCCCCAAATGTAAAAGTTTTGAGCATTCTTGTACCATACGCAAATTTTTACTTCAAATGTGTAGACCAAGTGTAAAACCTAAAACTATAAAACTTCCAGAAGAAGACAGAGGAGAAAGTCTTTGTGACATGGAAACATTCTGTTTCAATACAATGTTCTCAGCAAGATGATAAAAGTTGAGCAGTCGAACTTCTTTAGAATTAAAACCTTTGTTCTTCGTCAAGAGATGAGAATGAAAGACAGGCCAAAGAGCACAAGCCCATTTTTGCACTGGCCTTCACATTGGTCCAAGGAGATGAAGTCTCTGTATATACAGATTGGTTCACAAGACAATTGTTCAGAATAGCTGAACATGGAAATCACCAGAGTGCTCATTGAGGAGTATGTAGATAATTTATGGTCTAACCATGCAACTCTGTAATGGCAAGTACACAGAATACTACTCAGGAAGTTCAACAGTCAACAGGATCGATTCCAGATTTATTGCAATTCTGCATTACCTGTGACTCATTCTAGTTCTATGGTCAAGCTACTGGTAAAAGTAAATGTCATACTACTGAGAAATCCGTAGCAAGTAGTAGGGGACGTGTAACTCTACATAGACTCCTATAAAGTTTACTCTATAAAATAACTAGTCTAACTTCTGCAAAAATAATTAATTTTGGCAAGTTTAATAATATTCCTATTTACTACGAGGTTTAATATTAATGGCAGACAATGAAATTTTAGCCATTAGAAAGAATACGATCATGTCACTTGCAGGGAAATGGAAGTGAAGTAAGCCAAGCTCAGAAAGAGACAAATGTTTCCTCCCCTCTGTGGAACAGATCTAAATTTCACTGAGATATGATAAATTATACAGGACTCTAGGCCCTCACGCAGTGCGCTCACAGTGCGCTCAGAGGAGGCCACGCTTAGGGGAGGACACACAGGCGCCCCTGTGCCGCTGGGCCTCTGGCCACTTAAAACAGTGTTTATTGAAACCAACTCCAGGAAATGAAAATTAGGATTTTTCTCTTTCGTGTTCTGTTTTCTTTTCTTTTTGTCTTATTTGCTTATGTCTTTGGGAGGACAAGGGAGAGCACGGAAATGGAGGGACAAAGGTGACCAAATGCAGAGTGCTACTTCCTGGACATGGAAAACAAACTACACCTTGTGGTTGGAGGGAAAGCTGGAAGAGAGCTGGAGAAGGCATGGCACTGCCCCCAAAGGAATGCACTCATCACCTGACTATGCAACGTAACCCTCTGAACCTTACCTTTATAACAATCAAAACAGAAAATGATTTAGGATTATTAATAAACAATTATTTTAAGTTACTAATGAAAGTGAAATGTTAGTTTTTTTTACTGTAAATTACTAATATTACAGAAGACTATGCTGCCTTTTACGTTTGTTTTGCATTCATTTATTTCCTTCTGACAACTGGCAGGAAAAGGTCTGTGGCCGTGGCTGCATAACAAAGGAGCTGGCAAAGCAGCCCACCTCTGTGTCCCCTTCCCCACTCTGTCCCCCCACAGCCCATCTCCCTCCCCCAGCGGTCCCCCTCTCTTTCTGCCAGCCCTCTCTGGCCTCTGCCCCCCTCCCTTCCCTGTCCTCCCCTGCCTGGTCCCCCACCTTGCCTCAGCCCTGGGATGGATATGGGGCGAAGTCCCCACCCACTGAGGATGTGGAAACTAGGAGCCACCATGAGCAACTGTGGTTCCGAAAGGAAGGCTGCTGACACAGTACAACAATTCCAAATCCCCAAATTAACGCAAACCGCAGCTGAGACCAGAACCATGGAAGCTCGGGGTACGCGAGCAGAGACCTCCATCTCACGGCACCATTACTGCAAAATGAACTGGGCAAGTAAATGAATGGACTTTCAAACTTCAACAAGAGATCGACACAAAGAAGGATCAACACATCAGCAGCCACTAAGCAGTAGGCTGATAAAAAAGAGTTACCGAGAGATTAACAGTCTACACCATTGCTCGGTGACTCCTGGAACTAGTGTCTTTGCCCCTGCATTAACTGGGTTGATTTGTTTTGAAGGTTTCGTTTTTGAGCTGCTTGTATGTTCTGGTTAGTAAGATCTGGTTGGCTGTATAGTGGGTTAAGCAGTTAAGCTGAGTGTGTGTGTGGGGGACACTATCCCTCAGGACCATAGTAGACTACAAAGCTAAAGACATCCTCAGTCTAGTACCTCATCTGAGTCTTCCTGCTTTTGCCTTTTACTCTGTTTAGTCATGAAATTGTATTTTATAGATTATTACAGTCAGTTTTACCAAATACTAAGTCACCGTTAAGTGTATAGCCAGCCACTTTAATATTTCCAAAGGCTAAACTGCCCTGGATTGAGATTGGAGTTTGCCTCATTTATGTATTGGACAATTCTAGTTAAAAAGTTCTAGTTCTAATTTATAGAACACAAAAGGTTGGAAAGTAACAGAGTGGCCGTTTAAAAGCAATCTGCCTGGTAACAAGTTTGAGCTGTGAATGGCACCCAGCATGCTCTGATGAACTCAAGAGTGGAAAAGCAGAAAGTTCTGAGAGGGCAGAGGGCAGAGTTCCGAGTGCTTCAGCTGCCTTACAGCATCTCATGCACTTCGGGGAATGATGCCTTTTAAATAACCAAAGAATGGAAAACGGCCCTGTTCATTGTCAGGGACTTTTTAAATGCCTGTATACAAACATGACACTTTAAATCACCCACTTTTTAGGATTTAATCTTCCTCTCCCCCCTCTCCCCCTCCTCTCTCTGTCTCTCTTCCTCTTCCCCTCCTCTCTCTGCCCCCTCTTTTTTCCTTCCCTCCCTCTCCCTCTTTTTCTCTATCCTTTATCACTTTATAAAGAGACAAACTCTCTGTATTTTACACACAAAACTTTAAAACTCTTCTTAATATGTATCTGCCTATACACAACAATACAAAAAGCTGTCAAGTGAAGGGCAGTACCTGGAGCGCTCCAGGGCCATTTTAGCTATGTGGCCTGGGAATACTACACTCTCTGTAGAGATCATTATAACCTCATTTTCAGGACTGTTGTGAGACCGAGTTTTTATACAAAAGGATCCACAACAATGCCTGATATACAGTAAAACAGCCTATCAAGTAACAGATGTTCTCTTGAGAACGATTTTTCTATCTCCCACTGATGTGTGGTTGCTGTCTTTAAGAATGAAGTAAAGTTGAACCACTTATGGATCAACTGGGGTCACCTGTACATCCCTCTTCGGTACCGAATGGCACGGAACTAACCTGCCCTAAAGAACTCCAGAGGCAGAACTGGTATGACTATCCTGTTGGCTTCTTACTAAGTGTTCCTTTAAAACTGAAATATACATGAGTGACTACTGACTCTTTGAATCTTCCTAAATGGTTACTTTCCCAAACATGAGTTATCTGAGCAAATGAAATGCAAGATGTTGTCAATCAAGAAACATGTCCATTTAATTGGATAAAAGGTAAAGATAAAGACATAATTAATGTTCCAATGGCCAATTTGTCCTGACTCTCAGGACCATTTTTTCATATTTTATTGTTATTATTAAGGTGCTGTAGAGGCCTGTTAATCAAACAAGATCCACACTATAAAATACCCATCACATTATCTTATTAGTGTACTAACACGATATTAAGAACAAAACCTGTTCAAGATTGGAAGATCTAGCAATTAGGGGCACTTTTACTGCACAAAGCTTCTTCATATTAATGAGTGTTCATAAATACTCATGTATGTTTTCCAGAAAGAAGCAGAACTTTCAATGAAGAACAGCAAACCCTAAAGGTTGTTTAGTGAGCTGCTTGGGGCAATGCCTTCAGCAAGGCATTTCTCCTAGTGAAAAGATGCTCGAAGCACCAAATCAAATTTGTTCCAAAAGCCAGGTGAGCTCTCAGCGCAGCCTCCACCGGGGTCCGGGGCTGCTGGCTGGAGTGGTGGGCTGGTCACTGAGGCGGGCTCCGGGGCCTGGGCTCTCCAGAGCAGCACTGCTGTCGTGAGGAGGGGTGCCAAAGGTCAGTCCTCATCCCTGAACCTTCTTCTAAGTGCCATGTCCAAGTCATCACTGCAAAGGCAAGCCTGGCTGCCGTGTGCCTTCCCAAAGCAGCACAGCACTTTCTGTTGGGCTTTACGGATGGATGTTTCAATGCAGGGTTTTTTGTTATGTGACAATTAGTTGGCTGAAAAACTTCTGAACTCACGAGGCTATAGTTCCTAAAAGTTGTGTTTAAGCTGACATTTATGTGTTCTTACACATGAAACTGAATGTTCAACTCATTTAAATTACAACCATATAAGAGACAAAGCATACATCCCACCATTTTAAGGTGGATTTCAGCATACAAGTTAAACAGAGGAGGACCATGAGCATGAAGGATTTAATGTGAGTGATGGCCCCACAGGTTATGGAAGCAGAGTGCCCTTCTCTTCACATCAAACCCTCTGTAGAGCACCAAACGCTGGCTGCTACTATCACTTTATGCAAGACTCTCAGGTTCAGCGCACTGGAACAAACATGAAAGGCTTAGATAACATCTTCTCTTCATTACATACGAAATGTTAAGTTCTATGCTTAAAACTTGTACCCGTGCATTCATTTCAATTTTCTTTTAAGCAGAGTCTCAGGCATTTGTTAGTCCCAAGACATTTTCTAGAACGTGGAAGAACAGTTTGCCAAGGAAATGCATGTGAAAGAGAACATGAAGCGACTCAAAGGCTTTGCGTTAACGCTGAGAAGCAGCCTTGCACTCACATTTGCACAGTGTAGGGCCAGCGCACAGAAGACAGCAAACATCTTGAAGTTGTTCTCGTCCGTCTTGGAGAAGGCACTGCCGCTGATCTTGTTCACCATCTGCACCACGCCGATCACGCTGCCGCGGCTGACGATGGGCATGCACAGGATGTTCCGCGTGGTGTAGCCTGTGTACAAGTCCACCTCTCTGGGCAGCGTGGGCGCACGGAGCAGCGGCCGTGAACAGAGCAGGAGGAAGGAAAGAAAGGACGCTTGCCATCAGACCGGAGTTCAGCTCTGCAGCGCATGGCCCCAAGCTCAGATAGCTGTAACAGCACACTAGCATCTAAACCCAGGGACAACATGACACTGGCGAGCAAGCATCAAAACCGTTCCAAAGATATCTAACTTGGTTGCTTTCGCTCAATCACTTTTCTAAGACAGGCTCTACAGGGGGCTTATCGCTCAGCACTGGGTTTTCAGTGTTCTGGATGACAACAATAAAAAAATAAAGTAGATTCAAAGTAAAAACTTGGTAATATGACATATTTCATTAACTCTGATGATATTTGTTAGATATATAACTTGATAAAAGCAATTTAGGAGTTTCCCCATCAGGGGTCAGCAGACAACACTCCTTAGGCCAAATCAACTCATCCTTGTACATTAAAAATAAATAAAGCTTGAATGAGGTACAGCCACACTGCTCATTTATGCGACCCGTGACACTGATTTACGAGTATTTTTTAGCAAGTTCTGTGAATTGAGTTCCACAGAAGCAGCCACTCAGCTGTGCCATGGGAATATTAGGTAGCTTCAGGTAGCCTTCTGCGTCTCATTAGCACACTGCTCTTGAGCTTGCCCTGGCTGTGGTGAAGGGTGCCCTTCAGCTCTTCAGCCTGTGGCACTCTGAGCCGTTGTCTCTCCCCGGGAGAAGCATCACTGTTTACTATCTACTCCCCATCAACCCACAGTATTGTTTGTCTACACGGGTGCTCACTCTAAGTACCCTGCTTTGAAGACCTGCACAAGAGTTTTGTGCTGACCGGTTAGTAATCATCCAGCAGACCGGGGACCACGCAGACAGGAATGGCTGAATTTTCCAGAAACCGCTCAACTGTCTTCCTAGGGCATGGACCACAACCTCCCACCTACTTCCCTACATTCTGGCCAGCTCTTGCTGATGCCAATTCTGAATCTCTCAGTGGTGGACAGTGACATTACCCTTTCTTTTTTCATGTATCTAACAGTTTGATGTATATTTTCTTTGTGAAATGTCTGTTTAAATCTTCTTTTGTAAAATGTCTGTTAAACTCTTCTGTCCTTTTAACTGAATTTGGTATCTTAATTATATTGACAAAATTTTTTATATATTCTAGACATATTTTTATCACATATATGTTTTGCAAAAGTTTTCTTCCAATCTTCAGATTACCTTTTCATTTTCTTAATAGTCTGAATCACACATTTTACATAAATATTGTAATAAGAATATACATATTATTCACACTATTTAAACAGTGAAAGATTAATTCTGTTTGGGGAAAATGACAATTTTAGAATCTCTTATTAATGTATTGATTAAAATATCTGCTGGACGGGAGTGTCTCACGCCTGTAATCCTAGCTACTCAGGAGGCTGAGATCTGAGGATCGAGGTTCAAAGCCAGCCCGGGCAGGAAAGTCCGTGAGACTTTTATCTCCAATAAACCACTAGAAAACCGGAAGTGGCGCTGTGGCTCAAGTGGTAGAGCACTTGCCTTGAGCTGAAGAGCACAAGGACAGCGTTCAGGCCCAGAGTTCAAGCCCCACGACCAACAACAACAAAAAAATCTTACTAGGCCATAGCTGGAATCATATATGAATGAGGCATACTTGACGCTGGTCAATTAATTACCTGATAAAAACTTCCAGTTGTTTATATAATTTTTCTCTCAAAACAAATCAAATGTATGTACTTACTAAGCACTGTTGACAAAATATATGAAATATCATTCTCTAACAGCCATGGTGCTTATCTTGCAACTTTCCATCTCTTGCTTTAATAAACCCAGATTATAGTTTGTTTCCTCACACTCCAAAGAAGGTCAAAATGAAGTTAAAAGTTTTTATAAACTGCCTTAATACCTAACTTTAATAATAGCCCATAAAAACTGGCTGGGTGCGAGTGGCTCATGGCTGTAATCCTAGCTACTCAGGAGGCTGAGATCTGAGGATCACAGTACAAACCCAGCCTGTGCAGAAAAGTCCCCATGAGACTCCTATCACCAATGAAACATTCAAAAAAACCACAAGTGTTGCTGTGGCTCAAGGGGTAGAATGTTAGCCTTGAGCACAAAGAGGCTAAGGGACAACACCCAGGCCCTAAGTTCAAGCCCCACACCCAACAAAATAAAATAAAATAAAATCTATGGCTTAATGGGCTCCTACTTCCTGTCAGGCAGCTTTGAAACCTTTTAGGTACTGCTACACTAATTCAGGACACTGAGGCTACAGGGAGCTACATAATTCACCCCAGGTCTCCCTGAGCCAATAATTGCAGAACTCAAAAATACATATTTTCAACACTCTGTTCATCCTTTTAGTATAAAATTTGATGTAGAATTCTAATATAGTACAACAAATGAAGACCCACCATAAGAGATCCATCCATTGAAGTCCCTGTTCATTGCTCTGAACACTGTACACACTATAGCTGGCTACAGTCACTTTCTACTAGCTTAGGAATTACTGTTTTGTAACTATATGAATGTATGGACTGCTGGTTCACAAAAGCAAACCAAGTAGGAGATAAAAGTACCTGAGCTGGGCAATGGAAAAGTGGGGCTCCCTCCCAGAGAAGCGTTGGGCAGAGCTGGGCGTGGAGAGACAAGAGCCGAGGAAGGCAGGAGCTATTTCTCACCTATTGAAACGTGGGTCCGCATAGGCATCCGGAATGTTCAGGACTTCCCCCGTCCGTGCTACCTGGCCAGCAATTCCTTTCTCGATTGAAAATCTGCACAGATAGAAGAGGAACATGCTATGTCAATGATCAATGCCGAAACACTTCATTACAACCACATACTGATCTGAGAAGCCTTATTTATTTTAAATGCACCTATTAACTTTACACTGACATATCCTAAATCATGCTATAAAATATGTACTATTAAGACAGATAAACACACAGTGGCCACTTATGAACATTAAGGTATGACTGTCTTAAGATATAATCCTGAGACTTTGTTTTAGAGCATAATTAGATGCCAGCACTAGCCAACAATAATCACTTCCACTGGCCAAACGCCTCAGAGTTCACAACCCACTTCCTCCTAAGTATTATTCATGGATGCTCAGTAGCCTGAGGTCAACACTGCTGAGCCAGCCGTGCACAGCCAGCACTAGAGCACTGTGCCCAGCACCGTGCTGTGGTAGCAGGGGCTGCATCTGAACCTACCGATGCAGGACTAAGAATTGTATGCTGTTTGCAACATGGAAATATATGGAAATATTCTGCTTTCTTAATTTGTTCATCTTTAAAACAAAACACAGCTAGTTGTTCACTGTTCATATATATATATATATATATATATATATATATATATATATGTATGTATATAGTTTTATTTTAGTGGCAGTACTGGGGCTTGAACTTCCAGTCTCCAGCTCTCTCTCAGATTTTCTGCTCATGGCAGGCACTTTCCCACTTAAGCCTTGCCTTCACCAGCTTTAGGCTGGTTAACTGGCTATAATAGTCTTGCAGACTTCTCTGCCCAGGCTAACTTCAAACTATTATTCTCAGATCTCAGTCTCCTGAGTAGGGAGGATTCTAGGCATGAGCCACTGGCATCTTAATTGATTGCACTTTGGATATCCAGTGCCAGTATATTTCTCCTGTAAACACATTCTCACATTTATCAATACTTTTCTCACTGCAATATTATCATCATGCATGCAATCATTTCAAACTGTAGTTAACATTTCTACAGCACACAATATCTATGATTTTCCAACAGTTCAAACTCATCTTCATAGTATTGACTTTTCAATTTTATAGAAAGTAATAATTACAGAAATAAGGCTTTACTCTAAGTATTATCAAGAAAACTTAAAAGATAATTGATACAAAAAGCATTAGAACATCAGGAAGTGAACCAAGCATTGCATAAACTCAAGGTGCTCGTGCCCCAGCTGCCCTGTGCCCTGTGGGACAGCCGGCGGCCGAGGCAGAGCATCTGGTTCACCCTGGATGTGGGCTTGTCTGTCGTGGTCTGGGAGCAGGCTGCTTGGGACTCTCACTCGACCCTCTGTGCTTTGCTCTCTGAGGCACTGGAAGCCTACAAGCAGCCGTCAACCAGCCACCTCACAGTAACCAAGTCCCCCCAGCCGCCTTTCTTAGGATTGTCAATACATGCTTTAAGTCATTGTTTTTAAAATTAAAGCAATAATAGCAGTGTTAGAAAACAATAAAACCGTAAACGAGAGACATTGGTCTGACGTACTTTGATACAAAAAATACAAACAAATTTTTAAACCTCACAGAGTCACACAGTGCCAGAGTGATATAATTGTGAAGCACAGACGTGTGAGCTTGCACCACCGGGAAGCGTGGGGCAGCAGAGCAAGTCCACGCCTGCAGCCAGCCACGCGGCACGTACACTTCCACGTGAACGCCTCCCTGGCACAGTGCCCACGCACACAGCAATGATTGTTGTTGGGGTTTGAACCGAGGGCTTTAAGCTAGGACAAACTCATCAGGCCCGAGCTCCAGCACTTGAGCCATACCCCAGCCCTTTTGAGCTGGGATCTTGCTGTTTGCTCAGGCCGGCCTGGACTCTGGTCTTCCTAGTCACGTGACTGTCACTGCGGGGCTGACAGGCACACAGCCTCATGCCCAGCTTTTGCTGTTGACATGAGGTCTTGCAGAGTTTTGCCTAAGCTGGCCTGGAATTAGATCATCTTGGACCTAGCCTCCTGCCCAGTGGGGATGGCAGGCACACCACCATGCCCTTTTTTATTGTGGACTGAGGTTTTGTGAACTGTTTGCCTGAGCGGGTCCCAAACCAGGTCCTCTGGACCTCAGCTTTGTAAAGAGTCAGGATTTCAGCACAGGCTATCACGTTCAGCAAGAAGACCAGGCCTTCCGGACCTCAGCTCTGTGAACAGACAGGACTACAGCACAGACCCTCACGTTCAGCGGGAATTCTTGGTGTGGGAGCATTGAACTAGAAATCTTTATATAGTGTATGTAGCAGAGTAAACGAGACAAGTAGGAAGAAGAAAGCAGGTATTTCAGAGGACTTCTGGCTGAGGATGCTCAGCGGATCTGTACGTCGATAGTGCTCCTTGCAGGTTTCCAGGTTGGCAGCACTGCGCCACCGTGCCTCTACGGACAAGTATGCTCCATCTGTCTCATCAAGAGACAACAGAGGCCACTGGCAGAGCAGAGACTTTTGTTTTAAGGTGCAACACACTGCATGTTGACTGCACCCACTGGCGAGTCAGCTACAATGCGCTTCAGTCAGGGAATGCACTAGATGCATTTCCTCTTTGCTCGGACCCTGAGGCAGCCATCCAGGCTGGGAAGAGGCCGGGGCCAAACTGGTTCAATTCACCCTTGCTCCCAAACATGGGAAAACCTGCAGACTCCAGGCGGAGTGCACCTTTACCTACCTGGGAGCACTAGTAAGTTTTTCCAACATGATTTCCAAAAGGACCGCCTCCGGAAGACGGCGTTTCCAGGAGGGAGGCTAACGCTTCCTGGGCGCGGTTTCGTGGACACTGCAAAGTCATTCCCAGAAGCACTACCTTCAGGAGGCGGGTCCTGGTGGGAATGATATCACAGAATGACAAGCATGGTCAGCACACCTGCGGGGAGGCACAGGAGGGTGGGCAGCAACACCTGCGCCTCCGAGACAGAGCTAGCACACTGCGCGCCAGCTGTACCTTATCTCTTTGGTCTTCTTGAAGATGGGTTTCCCTTCCTTTTCCTCTCCAATATCAAAAAGGTCTGAATATAACTCCTTGTTCTTATGATCCACCTGGAAAAGGGCACAGCGGTCGGCGTTCACCAGGTTTTTTGCATATATCTAAAGACAAATGAGACAACAGGAGTGAGCAGTGAGAAATTCAAGACATTTACAGGTGAATCTGTGTTCAATAATTTCAGCTATTCTATACCTGAACTGGGTAGGACATGAGCATTGTAAGCATATACATATAAAGATAAATAAAATGTAACATGTATTATGTACAAATCATGTGCTAATGCTAGCATATACTGACAAGGATGCGTGAAGAGCGGGCATGCATGCACAGTTTGTGCTGCATGTTGAAATGTGTCTCTGTTGCTAAGCAGCATTCTGAACAGCCTCACTTCCTAAGAGCCCTTCACCCACTGAGCACTCAGGACTTCTAGAACCTCAGTCTGAGCTTGTATCCACAGCAAGGCCAGCAGCGTCCTGGCTACTTGGGTGTCTGGGAATAGCAACTGTGAAAAATATACGCTATAACCGCTAAGGAGACATAGTTTGATAGCTGTGTTGATTTTATATGCTGTAGTGTCAGACGATCATCATAATGATCTCTAGGTATTTACCGTGTGGTAAATACATTTATATATTGATGTGCACCAGGAGGTAAGCTACATCCCACTATTACAGAGCTAGTAATTAGAACTCCTACTAGCCACTTTTATAGTCCACGCCTTTCTAACAAATGTACTTCCCTACTTTTAAATGGTTAACTGTGAGCTCATTTCGCCTACCCAATTTGTTCATCCATTTTCTAGAACAAATATTTCTTTTTTTTTTTTTGGGGTCCGGTCGTGGGGCCTGAACTCTGGGCCTGGGTGCTGTCCCTCAGCTCTTCAGCTCAAGGCTAGAGCTCTACCACTTGAGCCACGGCGCCACTTCCGGTTTTTTTCTTTTTGCTTATGTGGTGCTGAGGAATCGAACCCAGGGCCTCTGGCATGCAAGGCAAGCCACCTTCCCAGCCCCTAGAACAAATATTTCTTTAATGCTTAACATATCTAACTGTCTGTATTGGACCGTGCTTACATAAATGCTCTACTACAGTTAATTTCAGACATCCAGATCAGAGCTGTGAAATTATTCCTCAGAGGACAAGAACTAATTCTTGGAGGAGAATAGCCATGACAAAATTTATGCAAAAGCAGCACGGTCACCATGTGGGCAGAGGAAGAGTAGGAAATCGCATGTAAAATTAACTTATAGGTGGATATAATCATTTTTCGTTTTTGTTTTTTTCTGTCAGTCATGGGGCTTGACCTCCAGGCCTGGGAACTGTCCTGAGCTCTTTAGCTCAAGGCTAGCACTCTACCATTGGAGCCATAGTGCCACTTCCGATTTTGTGGTGGTTTACTGGAGATAAGAATCTCACAGACTTTCCTGCCCAAGCTGGCTTTGAGTAGCTAGGATTATAGGCGTGAGCCACTGGTGCCTGGCTACATGTAACAGTTCTGTCCATGGGGGCTGGCCCTCCGTGTTCCCATTCACCATTTGTGCTATCATCTTTCCTGGGTATCTAATGTTCCTTTCCCTCCTATGTGGTGATGGGAATTATAAAGCAGATGCCAGTGAGCAAACCCCCTGACTGTCTCTGGTGTCACTGCGCTCACAGCCTAGTAGGGGAGACCACATGAGTGAATCAACCCACACCAACTGAGCGGCTGCCACATTCAGAGCTGTGAAGGCGCTGAGCACAGGGCCGGAAAACTCCTCAGGCCCGAGCAGCTTCCTGGAGGCCCTGGCCCACATGGGAGGACAGAAGGGGGATGAGAAGCCAAGCAGGAAGAGTGCTTCCAGGAAGTGGCGCTATCTGCTCCACCCCGTGAGCAGGCCCCTCACTCATGCCAGAGACATGTGAGCTTTAAGGCTTTAAGTCTGAGGACGCAAGAGAAGTATGTGCTTTGGAGACCAGGGGGAAATGGGGTGTGAATGTTTTGAAAGGCCTCTGGAGTGGGTAAAACATTTATCTCCAGAATAGCAATCGTGGTCATCTCTAGAGCCTCGGTGGCCACTTCCCCTAGCTGGGCCCTGACACTGCACTGAAGTGGTTCGTCCTGAACGGGACGTCTCGAGCACTGCAGATGAGCTCCCGGGCCCTGGGGACCGTCCCTCTAGCACCGCACAGCCGCACTGTCACCAGGAGACGGAACCTTGGTGGGTGAGGGCTGTAGTTGCAGCTTCCACTGAGGAGACCTCTTGAAGATTACTCTATTTTGAAGTGGACTAGAACAATGGGAAGGAAAAGAGCCTTTGTCAGAGCTGACAGAGTTCCAAGCACAGGCGCACCTGACCGCTGGGAACCGTGTCCACGCAAAAGGATTCAAGACAAAAGCAAAGTCACAAGGAGGACGGCTGGGGTTCTACGCCTTCCTGTGGCTTTCTGCTCAAAGTGCCGGCCAACCCTCCGCGAGAGAACAGTTGAGACTAACACGAAATAGAATGAACTTGAAGATCAAGAAGAATCAACGTCAGATCCCTAATATAACATCTACGTCCAAGGTGGCTTGAAGGATATAAAGATAAACCACAAGTCTTTTCAAAGTAAGCTGTTTTATATGAAAATTGAGATATGGTTACTCAAACTTCCTTTCCCCGAGAATCTCAACAGAAATTACAAATAGAAGGCAGTAGATTGGTAGGTATCACATTGTCGTAACGTTTAGAAGGGTTTGTCTAATTCATATGGGATGTTCCACCATAATGAGGACCATGGAATTTAAGATTAAATAAATTATTTTCACGACAAAAGGCAACTTACCATTATGTGTTCAAGTAGAGAATCTATTGCAACTATGTTATCAAAATATGTTCTGAAAGAAAGTAACATGAACCAGGTTAGGAACAGTACTTAGATCACAGTACACACAAGAATGTATTAGTTATATGTGCCTGCATTTAAACAACTACAGAGATATGATCTGATTTTTATCGTTTTGTGGAAACAATCACTATCATCTTAAATAAATAACATTTTATCATCGCCTTAATATTGGGGCAATATTAGAGGATGCATTTAGTGATTACTAACAGAGCAAAGGTCACAACACGTAATGACACAATGCAGAACTAAAACTGGCTCCACAATACTAATTTAATCAATTTGAGGGAGGGCGGGTTTTGGGGAAGCTAGAGTTGTTTTTTTTTTAAGTGATTGTACAAAGGAGTTGCCATTTGCCAAAGTAGTTTATGAATATAACATATCTTGACCAATTGGATTGAAATGAAAAATTGGAAAGAGTTAAAAAGCAGCTTTATTGTAAAAATGCAATTCATTTGAGAAGAACTGTCAGATACAAGTAATGATGTGTCTAATGACTATGTAAATTAAACATATTATTATTGCTATTATTATAAATGTCACCAAAAAATGAAGTAACAGCCATGTATATTACAAGAAGATGTAAAAAAGCATTCAATATGGTTCTGCTGGCTATGTAAAGCTTTTAGTTTGGGCTCACATAAACTTAGCAGTGTTCTCACACGTAAGGAAACTAACAAGAATGAACAATTAATTTTTAAGGGTAATTTTTAGCTTGAAATTACGGAGACTGAGAGCATCCTTCAGGGCACAGCACACTGAAGGCACCATGTAAGGAAGCCGGGAGAAGCAGGAGAGAAGCAGGAGGGCTCAGGGTGGCCTGAGGTATTCAGCCGACTCTGGGACACTTGCAAAGTAAACAAAGTACACTGGCTAGAGAAAGCTCGCAGCTTTGCTTTCTATATGCCTTGAAGGAATACACACATCCTAGAAGACTCTTTGTTTGAAAGAAGAATTTTGACTTATGTTGTCAAAAGAGATCTTCAGCTCTACATTTCTTTATTTTTTAATTTATAAAAACAAGTAAAATGTGAACTGGCAATTCAAGAAATTATTCGTGGGGCTGGGCGCCGGTAGCTCACACCTGTAATCCTAGCTACTTAAGAGGCTGAGATCTGAGGATTGTGGTTCAAAGCCAGCCTGGGCAAGAAAGTCCGTGAAACTCTTATCTCCAATAAACCACCAGAAAACCGGAAGTGGCACCGTAGCTCAAGTGGTAGAGCACTCGCCTTGAGCTGAAGAGCTGAGGGACAGCGCCCAGGCCCAGAGTTCAAGCCCCACGACCGACAAAAAAAGAAAAAAAAAGAAATTATTCATGGGAAGTCTAGTATTTGCTGGCATATAATATGAAATTCCGCTACATGGAAATGTGGGAGCTGACACCGTTACAGCTGTCACAGGGATCCAGGGTGAACACACACGTGTGGCTTCTTTAGTGACTGGTGGGAGGGAAGTTACCAAGACCCGGTGCATTTTCCCGATGCAGTGCTTAGCCAGGAGGGTCAGCTTTACAGAAGGTCAGTCCTGGTGGCAAGCAAAACCAGTATGAACCTGAAATTTGATGAATATCTACAATTGCCTTCGTTACCAGCTCACAGGAGTTTTTCTGAGTTGAAGAAATAGAACATGTTCTCAAAGAGATATCTGAGATGCTATACACAGAAAAGTTTAAAATACTTTTCGTAATATTTAAAATTGATATTGGTAGAAAATGGTAGGGAGGACATTTGGGGGGGGGGGAGTCAGAAGAATTCCTCTCCTAATGCTGTCAGAATTCTCTACAAAAACAGCTAATTAGTGTCTTCAACCCTCTATAAGACAAGCTATTTACAAAGTCAATGTCCAAATAAAAATTAGCATCATCAATTTATATCAGTAATGTTTCACTTATAAAGTGAACATGGGTGATGACCTAACTCTATAATCTGAAATATAATTAATCATTCTTCCCAAATTACTTGTATAATGAAGATTCATCTTTGGTTATTGACCACAGTGGAAACCAATCTATCACTGCCAAGGCCTGAACTTAAACAACTAATCAATAAAGTTTTCAATATCCCTAGAAATGAGACTCACTTGGATACATCCAGTAGAAAGTCATTTAGCTCCGTCTGTTTGGCAAGACCTCTGCATACCTGCCATGTAAAGTAATGGCTATTAGTGATATAGATTTCCACTTACTTGAAAATGCAAGTTCTTTCCATTAACAGCACAACTGCCTGACTTGTGTAATAATCTCAATGACTATTATCATCTGTTGAGTACATGAATATGCTAAACCCTGACTTACGCATCTGCTATTATTACCTCATTTAATAACTGCAAACTCCACAGGTTTGGGATTTAAACTTCACAGGTGAGACACGAAGCAATGGAGAAGCCTAGCAGGACCCAGGCCTCACGCGTGTCAGACGTGGCATTCAGATATAGTCAGTCTACCACAACTGATCACCAAAAACATTTTTGATACATTATAAGCCAAGCACTGGTGGCTCCTAGCTCCTTAGAAGGCTAAGACTTGGAGGATCACAGTTCAAAGTCGACTTGGGTAGAAAGATATACTTGATTCCATCTCTAGTTAACCAACAAAATTTGGAGCTGGAGGCATGACGCAAGGGTAGCAACCCAGCAATGGGCAAGAAAGCAGAATGAAAGCATGTAGTCCTGAGCTAGAACAAACACTTTATACTTTCAAAACTGTTGGCACATCTGCTACCTACACTTGAGGGCCGTGAAGTCCTGGCCCCCATCCTGTTATCCCACAACTCCACTTTCTTCCTGTCACATTGACTTTGCTGAAATGGAAAGGGGAGGAGAGAAGGGCTCTTAAAAAATACATGTGTGTAATTGAAATATATTGAAGACAGGAAGTAAGGGAATAAATAGGAAGGATTAAATGAATAAACATTTTAGAAATCACAAAAATTGTAGTATTTTTTTAAAAAGCATAAAAAGTAAAAGTGAAAGCACAGCATGACCCTGCTAATAGGTCTCTACTCTGATGCCCAGTGATGCACTCGAGTAACTCTTCTTCCTTAGGAAGATGCTGTGAACCCATCCCGGAGCCTCACCTGCACCTGATGTATGGCGACTGAAGCCCAGGCGAGATTTGCTGTTGCAACCTAAAAAAGCAAGAAAACATACAAATACGACACACAGAAAATATTCATCAGTTACACAGCACCGCCCAAAATGAAGGTCACTGAGCTTCAGAGATCTGCAGGACACTAAGTGTCAAATAGTAATGCGCGTGCTTTTTCGTTTGTTTTTTACCTTTCTCCTACTAATTGATGGAGCTTAAGGCTCTTGTTGTAACATAAAATGAGTACTTTCAAGTTTAACAGAAAGTCTATTTAGAAGGGCTCTAGGAGCCTATAAGATGATGTGTTATTTCTAAGACATGAAATCCCTATGCTGGCGCTCGCTGACAAGATCTTGCTTTGGCGACTAGCCAGCTTCTTTTACCGTTTATTGTGCAGTTAACATATATCGGCTAGGAACTAGGCATCACTCCAAGAGCTGCAGGCAGAGCAGTAAGCGCCAGGGCCACACACTGGGGCCCCTTTCTGTGTGTTGTGGGGGAGAGTCACACTGAAGCCAAGTGTCGCGCGTGGTGTAAGAGGATGCAGCAGCAGGACAGAGCACTCACGGGCATCAAGGGCTCAGGGGGCCCCAAGGGAAGGCGCAACTCCTGAGGAGGACAGAGAGGGACAGAGCCAGGAAGCCCACACTGAGGGAGGGGCAGGGCCTCCACGGAATGAGGGACAGCCGGAACAGCACAGGGGAGGGTCAGACAGCAGGTGGGGCCGGGCCATGCAAGAACTGGCTGAGGTGGATGTGAGACATTTTAGTATTTGAGCTTGGTATCTACGAGCCTACTCCACTTGCATGAGCAGTGAAGGCAGCATTGCATTCCTAGCATACTGACGCCGGTATTTCATATTAGTATTTGACACTCGGTTTAGAGAAAGGACGTTTTTAAGAAGGCATGAAGACAGCCAGAATGTAGAGCTTCAAAGCCACCACACAGCTTTATTGAACTGTGTATTGTCCATATGTTTTCTTACAGAAAAAAGGCTATGCTACTAATTAATCAGCTCCCTCTATAATCAACCTCAGGAAAACGAACACTTTCTAGGCAATCATGAGTATTCACATCAAAACAATGTCACGCAAGCTTTGAGCTGTAGAGATACATGAGTCACTGAGTGTTAGCGGCCAAAGACGCTCACCTCCTGATGGCTGAGACAGAAGGCCTCTTTGCCCCAGTGCCGATACAGCTCAAGGATGCCAATCAAGTCACCAATCGCAGTGACAATCGGCAAACAGAGAACAGACTGGATCCGAGTTCCCGATTCCAGCCCAGTACCTCTTGGAAATCGTTCATCCTGAAAAGGTAAAGGGGAAATGCATAAATTCAGTGAGAGACACAAAACCAGTAGGGGGGGCATGATGGAAAGGAAAGGGAACTGCCAGGTGGATAGGAAGCAGCACTGGACATGACACATCACAGATAAACATGGCCCATCAGGAGACCTTGTTCCCATGGTGCCCAGGACGCTGCCCTGAGTTTCTGCTCAAATGCCTCTACTTCCCATAATGCACTGGGTATCTGCTCAAATAAAGGAAAGAGTTGGGATGGTGTATAGAGGAGGCGAGCCATCAAGCGATCAGAGCAAAGCCCAGGGAGGAGACCCGGAGCGGCCCTGTGCTACAAAACTGCCTGGTAAGGAGGGCTGTGGACGGCTCTGTGGGGCTCTCCAAACAAAGGGCCTCGCTACCCTCCTGCTTCCCTTTCAAACAAACTTGCTCTGTCTGCATAAAGAAAAAGGAGAGTAACAGAATCACGTTATAGCTCCAATTCCTTTCAGAAATTTGCATGAGACTTGTCATCAATGATGAGCAGTCTTTTTCAAAAGAAATGATGATGGTTACATAAAAATCATACTTAAAAATGCTTATTGTCAGCAATATAAAACCTATATTCAATTACTTTCATGTTATTTTTATCCTTGACAAGGACAAACCTGATGAATGAACGTGTATGTTCATTTTGTGTAATAATAATAAAGTCATCATAAAAGCTGACAGTTATCCATTTATCTTCCTAGCCAGACTGTCCTCAGGCTTCATAGGCATAATGAGATAATATAAAGCACTCCAAATGCAAACACTACATAGAGAAAAACTGTTTATAAACATTTCTTCTTTTTCTGTTTTCAAGGTTAGAGTAACACAAAAGGGTATGTTAATAAGACTATTCTAATTGAAACCTCCAAGGTCCATGTAAGTACTGTAAGCACTCAGATTGTCTGGTAACTATCAGTTATTTATCCTACGAACAGAAATTATTTTTTTACTTGAATCATTTTATTCTTTAGCAAAATCACTGAAAGAAAACATAGAGAAATAGACTGACTTACTATCAAAACTCCACTTCTGTTTCTTCGATGTGTACTGGCTACAGGAAGCTATCGGCCAAAAATTAGTACTTTCCATGAATCAAGAATAATAAAAAAGGGGCTGGGAAGGTGGCTCAGTGGTAGAGCTCTTGCCTTGCATGCATGAGGCCCTGGGTTCGATTCCTCAGCACCACATAAGCAGAAAGAGCTGGAAGTGGCGCTGTGGCTCAAGTGGTAGAGCGCTAGCCTTGAGCTGAAGAGCTGAGAGACAGCACCCAGGCCCAGAGTTCAGGCCCCAAGACCGGCCCCCCCCCAAAAAAAGAATAGTAAAAAAAAAATCTATGTTTGTAATTTGCAGGCTTTTAAGAGTCTGCATGCACAAAAGAACACTCTCAAGTTAGAATATATGGCATGTTCCATCTCCATTTTTTCTACAATGTTACTAGTTCCTGATTGCAAAATTATGTAATTATGGCAAAAAAATTTTAAAGAACACACTTAAAAGGCTTCAGATAGGGTTAGCAATGGACGGAGAAAACTCCTTGCAAGTCTGAACACCTTGCCACGCATCTCAGTGCAACACAGGCATTGACACACTGCGGAAGACAGCCCTGCACTGTCCAGTGTCTCTGCAGGTTCCCCCTTCGTACAGCCTTCCAACTCCAGTCATGTGATCATGCAGTTAATGGGAGGACAGTAAGTCAGATGTAAGCTGAGGTTTGAAAAGTTGCCTTCCTTCTTCTCTCTTGGACTCTGGCTACTGCAGGAATGTGCCAGGCTAGCCTTATGGGTGGGGTGAGAGAAACAGGGAGCACTGAGGTCTTCCAAGACCGGACAGCACCTGACTGAGGGCCAGTGAGCCTCGGCCCCATGACAGGGTCCAGGTCGGCAGAATGGGCCAGTCCACAGACTCAGTGGGACAGGAAGTGGCTGTGGTAAGACACCCCCAGATTCGGGGCGGTCTGTGTGCAGCAACTGCTGGCTCACTTGTGTGCATGCAGCAGGATGTGAAATGGCAACTGTTGTGTGTACATGAATACAACATATATTCTAACGTTTCACCGTACTGACACATGCACTGAAATAAGAATTCCTCAAATTCAGCTCTTAGTGAATGTCCGAGAGACAATTTCCTGAATATAAGCATCCGGCTTACATGTTTTGATTTGTATAGCAGACCCTTCGTCTGGTTCGAAGAAGACCTCCATCAAGGGAAAGCTGCAAATGCTCTAGAACTACTCACATTTACCTTTGCTGTATGAATACGGGTCAGACGTACATAATCTGCCATTCCACGGAGCAGGCTGGATCATTGTCTCAAAAATTACTGTTGCATGCATGAATACTGCTCACCAAAAATGACATCTCATCTACTCCTTATTGCAAACACGCTGGGTGCTTGATTCAGGTTTTCCATAATCTCACCCAGTTTCTACTAAATCTTCACTGTATCACGCTAAGCAAATCCACTTTTACCTTACTTCAGGGCACCATTTGCTCTGGGGGAAGTATATTTTCACAAAACTTCAGTAAGGGCAGATAAACAGCAGGTCACAAAATGACTTAAATACCACTGATGGTAACATGGAACTGGCTGAGAGTTTCTCTGTACCCACTGAGCAGAACAACACATATATTAGGATCTGAAACTTCTGATTTTGCAGGTGTGTATGCATGGTGTACACATGCATGCATGTATGATGTACTACTGTGCTTGGTCAGAGATTTTGCAGGTGTGTATGCATGGTGTACACATGCATGCATGTATGATGTACTACTGTGCTTGGTCAAAACCATATGTGATACACCCATGAATAGGGCAGGCTTACTGTATTTTGTTTTAAAGCTTAAACTCTAATTGGGCATGATACATCATTTTTTCAGAAATATTTCAGTTAGGATCAGAAGTCCTTTACCCCGAGGATGTCCTCCACGAGCAGCGTCTTCCTGGACTTGGCCACGTAAGCAGAGATGGTGGTGCCCTGGGTGATGGGTCCAGCCGGGATGAGCCGGGGCTGGCCCTCCTTCATCCCGGGTGGTGTGAACACACACAGACTCTAGGAGGAAGACGAGAGCGTGCTTTATGGGTGTCCTGTGCCGCAGCCCTGGACGGACACCAGAGCCCTGCCTGACAGCCATCCGCACACGGACCCCCAGATGAGGCAGTGCTCCGGTCTGAGGAATCCACACAGAAAGGGGGTTAACTGTGAGGACAGGCAGCACAGGTACAGCAAGCTCAAGATGGACCCTAGTAGTCCACCAGGTCAGCAGCCATGCTCCCTTCAGAGAGGACCAGCAGCCGCCAGTCAAGTGATCTAGTGTCGTCTGTCATTACAGTATTTGTTTCTCACACATCGTTTTTTTTTATCCTCAACCACTCACTTGACCAGATTTTAGAACTATTTTTAAGAACATATATAAAATCGGCTTCCTGTTTGTTTCCTTAACACCACTAGGTGGCACTAAAGAGTAAGAAAAGCTGAGATGTAGCCTAGGCAAGACCAGCCACTACCTTCACCTGTTCTTAAACTTCACACTGTTCTTAAAAATACACCATCCTGTACAGATTGCCAGTGCACCTGAAGCCTCACAAATCACTACAACAAACAGGCTATGCACACTGAAGACAAAGACGGTTTCTTTCGCTTGTCCAGTCTCTCCCAGCGTGTACCCAAGCAAGGGAATTTTCTAACACATCTTCTTCACGGTTTGGGAGTCATAAAAAACCCAGAATGTGAAGGGGGAGATGAGTGTCCTTAAAAGAGGAAGTCTGTGAGGATAGACAGAGCCTGGCGGCCATGCTTGGAAAGCAGGAACTCTGGCCCGAGGGGAGCCTGCCGGATACCTAGGGAAGGCTCGGCTGGGAGCAAGGATGGGCACTGGCCGCGGGGGACACCCCACTGCACAGGTGAGGAGTCCCCGCTGCACAGGTGAGGAGTCTCCACAGGGCTGGGGATTGAGGGTTTACAACCATGCAGCCATTCATGTTTACAAACAAACACTCCTGAACTGACTTACTGATCAGTCCCACAACTTAAGCGCTTGTTAGTGACCTACTGTGAATTAATGTTTAAAAATTGGCACTCATAACATTATAACTTTTACAAACAAATTCTGGTTGACAGCCCAAGACAAAAATGATAACATGCGAAATGTTATTTTGAATGTGTGGCTAAGTGTAAATGAATAAAAAAGAACAAAGACACTAAAAAATGAATTAAGCAAAAATTCAGTCTCAGGAAACCAACAAACACCTCCAAAGTGCCTTGTCTATGTCAGTCACATGACAAAATATACTGCTCCTGACAAACCATTTCTTCCTCCCAGTGCCCATGGGCAAGGGGGGCCATCTCTCCACACTCCTTGGCCAGTGCACCATGAGCTCCCTATGATTCGCTGCTCACTGCTGCCAACTCTTTACCGAAGAGAATCTTTGCCTGCTGAGCAGCTTAGCATATTCCTCTGACACTAGCAGGTACTTCAAATACTTGTCGAATAAACAGCATTTATGATGCAACATTCGAGCCATGGAGGAGGGGAGATGAAGATTTAGAAAGTTCGCCAGTCTTGCCCAAATCACAGTCATCAAGTGATGAATCAGAACCACAAGGTTTTTGAAGCTAACCTACTTCCTGGGGCATTTCTGTCCTTCTGGAAGCCTTCTCTGCCCTCTGGGACAGCCCCGGTGGGCAGTAGGTAGACGATGTGGGCACAGGACCGGGCTGCCTGCGGCCTCTCCCACCCAGCCCAGCTGGCACTCAAAGGCAGTCTGCTCAGTAAACATCGTCTGCAGAGGTGATCACTAAACACTGTGTTCAGCCTGTTACTTGGAAACTGGACATTTTTCTATGGTTTGCCCTACACAGCAATGTCTATATTCCTTGAAACTGTCCATCTTATCTATGTTCACATCTATTCGTAAAAAACGTGTCCTTATAATTCATCACATTTCCACTATATCCCCTCATAATCATCACACATATGTGATTGTGTTTCCTCTCTTTGGATCGTTCCTTCTTTTAGCAAATAGTTTCTTTGTGTTGTCTTCAGATGTGCTTGTACATGCGGGCTCTCTCCCCAGGGAGTAGCAAAGTCTCAGGAGGGCAGAGACTAAAGCCCTGCGGTGCTGCAGTACCTAGAACAAGCCTACATGAGCTGCTGCCCAATATCTTACATGATGAATAGATACACTTTAACATTTTAACTATTTATTTTACTACTTGTATTACTGTTTACTCAAGACTAAAATCAGATGTCTCTGAACACTTTTTCTCCATTTCTATTAATATATTAAATAGCATCAACATAATATATTTTGATTACTCAAGGATATAGCTATTATATTGTGCCAACATATCCCCAAATCTCAAGAACACTGCCTAATATTTAAGTAACACTAGTAAATGGCAAATATATTTATAAATACGCCTCATGCTCTGAATGGAAATGAATTGATGAAGACTATGCTGGGCTATCATCTGACTCCTTCTCAACTGCAGTGATGGAACGAGCCGGAATGTTGTGTCAGACCAGGCCCGAAGTGCAGGGCTGGGAAGCCCCCAGCTGGACATGGCGAGCCACGGACACTGACAGACACTCCGGGATCTGAATCCAGCAAACCAGTCCCAGAGCACTTACAGAGCTGTCTTCTACAAGCACAACCACACTCTGCCAGCCTCTGCGTCTACTTTATTAAACTGTGTATGATGCCTGGAAATGGCCACAGGCTGTGTACAGCGCGCCAGCCCAAAGTACTGAAACGCCAAACAACACAAACCTAGAACTGCAACTCACGATACAGGATACTACAAACCAAAGCAAAAACAACACAGATTCCAAGACCTTCTCTGTAAAAAGTGCTGTGCAATGCTTGACTGGTACTAATCATATATGGAAGCAAAATACAGGGACATGGTTCAAGTAATAGAGCCTGTTGAGTGCAAAGGCCTGAGTATGTAAAACAAAATAACAACCTTAAGACAAGAAGGAAAAAGGGAGGAAAGCAAAGAGGAGGAAAGGAGGAGGAGGAGAGGAAAGGAAGAGGAAGAAATAAAAATAAGCTTAAAGTACTTATGTATGTCTATCATTAATACAGTAAGTATTGTCAAAGACCAATTATTGCTATTTCTTATCTGAGCACAGAAACTTGAGGAGAGATACTCACATTATTACATTCTCCAAGGAAATACAGCGCAAATCCATCAGCTTTTGTGGCTGCCAAAGTAATAAGAGAGGAAAAAACTGATCTCAGTGGAGGAATATAACATGTATAATTTCTCTATGGTGAGAATCAGACAGGAGCCTTTTGAATAGATTTGCTCACATAATCAGTGGTCATTCAGTAAGTAACAAGATAATCGATGGCCTTCCTCAGTTCCACATTGGAACAACCTTCACAGGCTTTCACCACTGTCTTCCGTGCACACCAGCCAACACACTGTGTTACAATACATCTGTCAACCTTCAAGCATGGAGAATTCATTTTTAATCAGGAAATTTTGTTTTTAAGTTTTATAGTATTAAAATATGCCTTACATAATGATCCTACTACTAACTAACTAAAGTAAGCACCAGTCAAGATGGGTAGCATGGGCTACCCAAGTAGTCACGGAAGAGAATAGAAGTTAACTCGTCTAGAACTGCTCAGGAGCTGAGTGCAGCAGCTCAGACTTGCAGCCCAGCTACTGACGTAGAAACTGGGGGAAACACAGCCCAAGCCAACTCCAGCAGAAAGCATGAGATGCTATCCAAAAATAAATAAAAAGGCAACATTGGGCTAGGGTGTGACTCAAGTGGTAGAGAGCCAGCATGCCATGTCTGAGGCCTTGAGCTCAAACCACAGTACTGCCACACACACACACACACACACACACACACCATGCACACACACACGAGCATGTACACACGCACGCGCGCGCGTACACACATGCACACACATATGCACACATCCGCATACACACAAAAACCTTCAGGGTCATCTGAAGGTAAATACAATAGCAACAAACAACAGAGTTCTGGAAGGGTATCCGAAATGTGAATCCCTACCTAAATCCTTTTTATCTATGTGTCTTTGGGTGACATACTGAGCCTCCACAGCTTCCTTACAAGTAAATGGTGACAGTCACAGAAACTAGTTTGTGAGTTCTTACATACCATACTTGTGGAGGGGCACAGAGTACAGTTAAGTAGGTACTAAAGGGAACTCCACATATGGTTAAGTAATACATTAGATATTACATATATCACTATTTTTATTGTTAAAGAAGGAACAAAAACTCAATTGTCATAGTAAGTATTCTGGGGGAAAAAAATCAAGTCCTAAAAATACATCTTTTCCAAAAAGTCCTTTTCTGATATAATTTTTCCCACATTCTAGTCAAAATATAAGCCCACCTTACCCAAATATGTTCATTTTCCCTAAAAGTAATGATTTCCTTTATAAAATGTAATTTACTTGAATAAAATAATGTTCAGTGAAAATTAAAGCCGTAAGTATATTCTGTTTAGACATCAGGTTTGCGTTTTGGCACTTTAGGAACTTTTAGGTGTGATCATTCCGGCAGCTTCATAATAAAATGTGTCCTCTGCAGCGAATGACTTCTGCTGCCTCTCGGTGGGTTTGGGTTTGTCCGTGAGGTGGGAGATCGGGCCAGCCGGGCGGGCGGGCTGCTGTGAGGCGCGTACCTATCTTGATGATGCTGCTGAGCTCGTACAGCAGAAGCTGGTTGTCCCCTCCTGTGTCCAGACGCTGCTCTATGTAGCTGTTCAACTCATACACCACTCCCTGCATATTCGTATCTTGGTACTTTGAATAGAAATAGCAGAAAGAAATGGCAGTTATCAACAAAATACAATTCCAATTCTAACTTCATATGCTAGCGATTCACTATGAGTTTATAGAGAATTAACTATTATATGTATTTATAAAACAAGTACATTGAAAATTAAAATCGTTCTATTTAGATTACTCTATAAACTGTATATGCCAGTTATCCATACTGAAATAGCCAAGACTGCCTATTATAACTTTGCTTCTGAAGTTTTGTAATAATGGCAACTTGGTTGAGAAATGGGTGCAGACTTCCTGAGGCTGGCTGCTCTTCTGCCATGCTAGAGAGCCCGAGGCACCGGCGGCACCCAGCTCCCCTGCCCGGCCTCTCTGTGTGACCCGGACCAGGACGCAGGGGTCTGCCAGCAGCTCACCCCAGGCAGCCACACACCAGAGCTCGCTGGGCACCGGTGCCTACGCCGATGGCACGCGCCTCTGAGCACACGCCATGCTGCCTTCTCGACAGTGAAAGACACGTCTGCACCCTGCCAACTAGTGTGCCCTGGTAACATCACCCGAAAAAGAAAACTCTGGTGCCCTGCGCTCAGGGGCTAGGGTTTCCTGCTCCACCAGGAGGGACCCTGGCTTCACCCCCCCCGCCCCCACATGTGCACACACACACATGCACCCTCTGCGCACGCATGCGCGCACACACCCACACCCCTCCCCCGCAGACACACACACATACCCCCCCGCAGACACACACATGCACGCACACCCCTCCCCCCTCATAGACACACACGCACCCTCCGCACACGCACGCACACACGCACCCACATCCCTCCCCCCGCATACACACACACATGCCCCCCCTGCAGACACACACACACACGTACCCTCCAAGCATGCATGCACACACACACACACACACCCTTCCCCCCGCATACATACACATACCCCCCTGCATACACACACACGCACCCTCCGAGCACACATACATGCACACACCCACACCCCTCCCCCCATACACACACACACACACACACGCACGCTCCGCGCACACATGCACCCTCTGAGCACACATACATGCACACACCCTCACCCCTCCCCCCCATACACACACACCCTCCGCGCACGCATGCACGCACTCACCCCCACGTCCCTCCCCCTGCATACAGACACACACATACCCCCCTGCATACACACACACACACACACACACGCTCCATGCATGCACGCACCCTCTGAGCACACATGCATGTACACACCCACGCCCCTCCCCCCATACACACATGCACCCTCCGCGCACGCATGCGCACACTCACACCCACGCCCCTCCCCAATACACACACAGACACACACACACTGTGTTTGGGAACATTCTGGCTGTCTCCCACTCTGAAGGCCCCGGCTCGTACACCCGGCATGTGCTCCCCGTGCTCCCCAGCCACACACACAATCTCCACGCCGCGTGCCGCACACCTACAGTGGCCACGGAGCCACAGCCGGCCCCAGCAGCTCCCGTGACACTGGAGAGCAGAACGTCCAACGCCATGCCTCCTCTGCGTTCAGTGCACCAGCACAGGCTTTTCTAGAAGCTGCCCCCAAAGCAGCCTCTGCTGGAGGAAGCTGGGCTGCTCCAACTTCCCGGGCGCACCCACTAGTGGCTGCAGAGCCCAGCGTGCGCACCAGGGCTGGCCGGGGCTCACAGGGACGCTGCGGTGTGGGTGACCTTGTTCCCTGAACTCATACAGAAGATGGGTGAGCATGGTCAGCCTCAGGAACTGCGCCATCCTGGGGTGGAGCAGAAGAAGCCAAGCACATGTTGTCTGCTTTCTTTGTGTTTGCTCACTTGTATGATCAGAAAGTTCTGGCTTAAGTGAACAAAACCCCATCTCACCAGTTACGGAGAAAGTGAGACCTGCAGGGGTCCCCAGACTTGAACCAATTCACAGGGAGACCAGGTTCCCTTACAGGGACAGACATCTGCGACGCAGACTTGCTGCACCTGGCCCACGGCCCCGCTGCTTATGTGGTGCTGAGGAATCGAACCCAGGGCCTCATGCATGCAAGGCAAAGCGAGTTTTGTGACTTTTAACTGACAAAATTTATCTGAGCAACACCCCAAAGCCTCCCAGGCACTTCGGTCACGTCTAGTGGTCATGAGGTGGCAACATCCTGTGGCAAACACCTGCGACTCAGGTCTCCAAAAGGTAAGGACGCCGGCAGAGCCCAGAGGAGGCAGCATCAGCCATCACCCAGAGTCCGCTCAGAGACGGTTCATGTGTTAGGGCTGCAGCTGTTCCTCACCAGGCCCAAGCCCTCTGCCCCCACCCAGTGCAGAAGCCCGGGAAAGTGGTTATCTGAGAATGACCAGGGAATGCAGAGCCAAAGTCAGAGGCCAAGGAGAGCCCGAAAGCCACCGTACAACCAAGGTGCTCCTTCCCAGCAGCACGTTGGTCCCGTCGGGGGAGAGTCTGGCTGGCTCTACGGTGGGTTGCAAGGGCACACTGGTAACGGGGCCTTCCATGAACGCAGGCAGGCGCCTCTGCCCTCACTGTCAGAAAAGCCCCTTCAGTCAGGGCTTGTGTGCGGCCGCCTTCCAGCTCTTTTGTACAGGAAATGGGGTGTCACAAGGAACGGAGAGGAACAAGAAGATGTTCTGGGATGGGAGCAGTTTCTCATGAGATTTCCTTTCCCATTTCTGAGCTTTCGTTCTTCCCATTTGTATGAAAAGAAGCATGAATTACACAGTCTTCAATACACTTTCAACACTTCATCTGTGATAACCTAAGACCTAGGCTTTCAGTTTTTCTTGTTCATTTTAAGCTTTTGAATTCTGACCTTTAACCTGATACAATACATTGGTACATTTTGTTTCCTTTGGTTACTGATAATTGCCTAATTACTTTAACAGTCAACTGTCTTATTAAGATCGATATTCTAGTGCTATCATATTAACGCAGATATTAAAAGCCCAGTCTACACAAGCAGAAGCTCCATGCCTCTCTCCAGGACGGTGTGACGGGGGGGGGGCGGGGGGGAATGGAGGGCGGGGGAGGGGCGCGGAGCCACGGCCTCCAAGTGGGGACCCACTTTAAGACGCTCTTTTGGAAACTACATGATAAAGAAGGCCCGTGAGGAAATCAACTCCATGCCTTGACCAATAAAATATGTCAACACTGGGCACTAACCCTGAGATTTTGTGCTTAAGGCTAGTGCTCTACCTACCACTTGACCCACAGCTTCATTTCTAGCTTTTTGTGGTTAATTGGGGATAAGAATCTCTCAGACTTTTCTGCGCAGGCTGGCTTCAAATCACGATCCTCAGATCTCAGCCTCCTGAGTAGCAGCCAGGATTATAGGCGTGAGCTACCAGCGCCCGACTCAGAATATTATAAAAGCTGTTATGTACTTGTATAGCATTTTTACCTCACACATTTCTTTCCCATCCTTTATTCTAAGAACCTATATAAAGCTTACATTAAGGATCACTGTATATTTGTAATTCACAATGAATTCATATTCTGTTCCGCACTAATTCCATGTGTGGTTTTTGAGAGCAACCACTGAAAACACAGCTTCACAATAATACGCCACGTGGCAGGCTAGCAGTGACTCAACACACAACCTGAACTGTATCAGAAACATCAACAGAAACTCAACTATGTCCAGTTCTGTCTGCCAGATGTTACTTTGCTTCCCATGGAATTGTAATGCATCCCGAGCATCCCCGAACAGGGGCTTGGAGCACAGTCTGAGAACCAGAGAAATGACTCTCCCAGCAGGGGCTGGGCTGGGGGCAGGGGAGGGAAGGGGGACTTGATATCTGGTGAAAGAAAGTGAAGAGACAGTGTCTTTCATTCCTGTCTCCCTACCCCGGTTGAGATCACATAAGGCGTAGTCCAGCTCTTTTCGATTCTGTCGGTGAGGAGTGTCTCCTTGGCCCTTCTTTGTGTGGTGTTTTCTGTCCGTTTCTGGCAGTAGTACAGTGAACTGGTGGAGTGAGGATCCTGCCATTCCTTCTGTCTGTAAACTGTAGCACGCTCTAGGGAAGGAAAGCTTCCTGTGTCCCTCCCTCCGCTCATGCATAGGAACCTAAAACCCCTGTTTCCTATTTTACTCAGCATTAACACTGCCCTCTAGCCTGATGCTCAGATCGTCCAAGCCTGGCCAGCAGGGGCCCCTTCAGTGTTCTCCATCTTCACTGTTTGATCAGTACTAGGATTTGAACTCAGGGCTTTCAAACTTGCTTGATTTTCTTGTTGTACTGGTATTCTGAAACCTGAGTCATGCTTCCAACCTGGCTTTTTGCTGGTTAGTTTGGAGATGGAGTCCCTTACATGTTTTTGTTCAGACTGACCTCAAACCATGCTCCTCCAGATCTTGGCCTCCTGAGTAGCTAGGATGACAGCCTGCAGCACCCAGACTTTCACATGGTTTCTCCAAACTTCTGAGCCGTAGACCTGAAGAACATATTTTATGTTCTTCCATAAAATGGGGAGTATGTCCTCTGGCCTGGTTACTTCCAAGAGAAGGGGAGAGGAGTTGCTGCCCCAACCCGTGTGCGCGCACGCGTGTGTGTGTGTGCGTGCGTGCATGTGTGTGCATGTGTGTAGTACAGGGAATGGCCTATACTTGACAGGTGAGTACTGTACTATGGAGTGACAGCCGCACAAGCGGTTAAGAGTTTCAGGAGTTTCTTTTTTTTTTTTTTGGTCAGTCATGGGGCTTGAACTCTGGGCCTGGGCGTTGTCCCTCAGCTCTACAGCTCAAGACGAGCGTTCTACCACTTGAGCTCCTTCCAGTTTTCTGGTGGAAATGGAGATAAGAGTCTCACAGACTTTCCCGCTGTGGCTGGCTTTGAACTGCGATCCTCAGATCTCAGCCTCCTGAGTAGCTAGGATGACAGGCGTGAGCCACGGGCACCTGGCAGTTTCAGGACTTTTTAAAGAAGCATTTACAAAGGACCAGGGCATCCTGTGCGCTGGCCCAGGCCCTACTGCCCCACCTCTGAGGATCAGAGACTGGCTTAG